TAGTAGCGACCATGTTTATCCTTTAGGGTAGCTGGTGCGTTTATGCAATATATGTGAAATATAATAAGACATTTACTTAAAAGTAGTTTATTAAAGAATGACTACATAAATCGAAAAATAAACTTGACAAGTTACTAATGTAGTATGTGCTTGTTGAGTTTTGCTACCTAAAGAAGACTTTTTATTATTTTTAATAGATTTTTTGAGAATATATTTCAACGAAATATGACAAGTCTCTTCATTAAAATTGTATCTAATTATGGCAGGTTTTTACAGGAGAAAAATCGATATTTTTCACAAATAGTTTGAACTATTGTTTCTAAATTATAATTCAATGGCAATAATCTGTTAAAGGTCGTTCTGAATATTTGTTTCATTTGAATAAAAAGTTCAAATATCTCCAAAATCTAATAAAAATTCTCTTTCATCTTCTAAATATTTGGATGAGAAAACGTTTCTGAGGTATTGAGAAATTGTAATCAGTTACCGATATTACTTGCGCATGTTTGATCCTAAATTGTTTGAGTTGATATGCAAACACCACTTTGTCTAGGTTTCCAAACATTTTTGTAACTATATACAAGTTCTTCCCCCCTATCAGTTACCGTGAGCTCAAAACTGTTCGCACCATTGCTTCTAGTGATCAAAATTCACTTTTGTGAACACTTTCTTTGTGTTAGAAATTGTTTGAAAAATTAAATTTGAAGGAATTGTTTGTAAATAGGTATGCAACACATCTTACATTTCAGCATAAGAATTGCTGATACTAACTATGTAATACTACTTTGTTCTGTGCTGACAGCACTCATAATTTCTTTTATATATATAATATTTATGATAAATTAGAAAAGTAAATTGTATTTAATTTTTCCATTCGATGATGGATCTACTGTATTAACTAAAAATTAAAATAACGTAATTACCCAATTAGAAGTAGAGGTTTCTCTACCACTTCCAATAAGAATTACCAATCAATATCTAATCAATTATTTTAATTCTCGTTAGTTAATCGAGATCGAGAATATTATGCAATGAATCTAACGACGAAACTAAAAAGTGGGTTATAAAGTATAACAGAATAAGTTTATCTTTTTCTGAAATAGTTGTCTAGAAAAGTAAAAGCATTTCTGTTATTTCATTCAAATTATGATTTTTTATTGTTTACGGTTTCGTTCTCATTTCCCTATTTCATGTTAGACTTGTTCGAGACAACGCTGATTTATTTCATTTATTTGCTATGATAATTAGTTATTTCTAAATTACTTGTCCTATCTAATTTTTTTTGCATGCATATGCATGGTTTGAAGATGTGATTTTTGATACCATTATGTTACTTAACTTCTGCTTGTTATTTCTAAAAGCTTTTATATTTTCTCCAGTGGCTGCTCGTGCTTGCATTTATTACGTATTTTAATGCCATTATATTTCAAAAACTTGTAGTAGGATTGTACAAATATCTACCTTGAATAAAACAATTAGTAAAAATAATAAAAATTTATTACGTAGCACATTAACAAAAAAAAACATTTAAAAAATTACGAGCACTAAAAGTTTCTTCTGATTTTGTTGAATTGTCTTCCCGAACTAGTATCATTAAGACAAGGTACTTGAACAAGGTTAAAATAAATATTTCCCAATAAATTTGCCGATGGAGAATCGGCTTGTTTTAAGCATGAGTACAAAACATCGTCGCATGCACAGTGAGACTTAGTATATAACGAATCGTTCGTTAAATTATATCGTTTAGAATATGCCCTAATTTTCACAGGGCAGAGGTCATGAGCCCTACAGCATCTGTCCGTACTAATTTCACTTCCTAAATCGTAATATGACATTGCAATATCACCAGTTCCACACCATTTTGTACCTAAAAAATATTCCGTTTAAAATCTGTAAATTTAATAAATTTTCAAACATAAAATTATAACTGCATTATATGTAAGCCCAGATGCAAGCAGTTGTTATAAAGATGGACATTTAAATTATACGGGGAAGTGTCAAAAATTAATTGAATTTGAATAAGGCGCGCTTGGAGTAATGTACTGCACATGTGCCATGCTGATGAATACTTCGTTTACGCGGCATTAGTCGAGTAGCGGTTGCAAACGTGCGTGTTGATTATGTGTGGTTGATCTTATGTATTCTTATTTTGACTTAATTTTACGAAGTTGTTGTAAATGTTCATTATTAAATATTTATTTGTTATAATCGAATTCAAAACTTAACAAATACATTCAACCTAAGAAATACCATTAAGCTATTCGTTTGAGGTTACAATATTTTGGTGTTGTTGTCCCACAGAGAATAGCCTGCTTTCATCTTAAATTTTTAATAGAATGGGTTAAGAGTATTTATTAGGTTTTGTATGAATAAAATTGTAATTAGTAAATGTTATGTAAGGGATATTTTACAATAATGTAATAAAATAGAACCAAAAGTAGTAAAATGTAATCAATGCGCATGCGCTGCACCATACTAGTTTTTCGGTTGGTACTTGCTCCAGTAGGATGAGAAGCGTGCGTTGTGTGTAGTTTTCGGTTTGAACTGGTAGTAGTGGCTTTTCCAGGAGTTTTCCTTTAATAAAATCTAAATAAAACGCGACTACCTTGTGTTTTAATAACGCGGACGGGATAAAGATGAACATAACGCGCAGACAAACTTTCGAAGCGAAGTGTATAGTTCTTCCGTTAAGTGATACTAGAATACGGTTCATTTTTTCCAAGATGGAGTCATCTTGCACGCGGGAAGAGGTTGCCAAGGTTTTACTACACTATGTAAGTCCATATAATTATTGTTTCTGTTTGTGTCGTTTCTGATAAATAATTATAGGTTCGGGTTTATGGTATTGTTAGCTGTTTCGTACCTGTAATAAGTTATTTGAACCGTATTTACTACGTTTACTAGGCACATTTGGGACGAGCTGTTTTTCTAAAAAAAAAACATTGGCGTAACTTACACTGTTATAGGGTAGATGATATTATGCACATGTGACATGGACGTGCAATATTCTGGCGATTCAGAAATATCTTGCGCATTTCTCATATGAATAATTTGATAGGTTGTGAATTTAAAACTTTATGGTGCTGCACACGTATAGTAAATAGGAGATGAAGACATTTCCCGTATTATAATAGGAATTGAATGCCTAAATGTTGTTATGATAAATGGGTAAGTTCGGGGTAAATATGTAAGATTATATTTCGGAGGCAGCATTGTTTTTTTGGGAATCCAATTTTTACTAAAACCCATTAAAGGCAGGGTAGTAAGCTGTGATATATTTTGTTCCACAAGTGTCATAAGTGATTGTACAAAAAATTCTTCAAACGCCAAAATGATTCATTTATGTGCTCTGTCTTCGGAGCCGATGTTGAATGTTTTAAACAAACAACGTAACTCGTCCAAGTTACGGTTCTGGATGTTGGAAAAGTGTATGGTCTGGGACATGCATCCCCATTCAAGGCAATATTTCCGGAGCGAAAGCGCAATAAGATANTGGGGGATCGAAAGAGGGTGGTCACTTGAACAAAACCCGATAACCTAACCTAACCTACCCTATTGATAAAGATATTTAAATAATGTTTTATATAACTTTCTCAATATTTTTATGTATTTTTCATTAGTTTT